AATGCCGCTGCTCTTCACTTTATATGCGAAATTTCGAACAACATAATTTATTGCCTAAACCTTAGTGCACTGACGTTTTACAAATTGTATTCGTCCTGTTAAATAATACAATACTTATAAAAGAAAGACATGCATACGGCTATTTCAATTAAGGTTGTCCCCAGAGCAAAGCGGAAAAGTCGAATACGAGCGCGAATGGCTGCTGGGAATCGCTAATAAATGAATGAATTTATTAGCGATTCCCAGCAGCGTTTCGCGCTCGTATTCGACTTTACCGCTTTGCTCGGGGGACAACCTTACTGTATGCATTTATATGTATGGTTAAGAAAAGGCTTCGCCACACCTTTAAATTTAATTAAAGTCGATCTCTAATTTGCGATAATTGTAGTGTCAAAATCGTTTTCAATCGCAAGAGCGAGTTGCTTGACCAGACAAATGTTAACCCTAAAATTATATTGAAAACCTTCGAAGCAATTATAAATAAAATTCTACAAACCCCATGCACGACGGAACGACGAGTGTTTGTAATTGATATATATTCAGGTAGCAGTGGGCTTCCTTGAACCTTTTGAGTGGGGATGGGTGGGGATGAGTGTGGATGGATAGACGACATCAAAGAATGGGCTGGCATGTCCGTATACCACATGGTAGACATTGTACATGATCGCAAATAGTCGGGAAGATGGTTGTGAACATGAGAGCGGAATGAGGCACCAATTAACGGGCTCGTCAGCGCCCATTTTGGGGATTCAGCACTCCAATGGTACCGACAGCGTGGGCCTAATTATAGGCACTGGTAAAAAGTGGCGTGTTTTCTTGTATTATGTATATGGCAGGTTATTTTAACAGATTCAAGACTGGTGAAGACCACTAGTACATAAACCTACAGTATTGGAACAGCTGGCACGAGCCCAGCATCTTATTTATTCTAATTTTTATTTGAATATAGTGATATTTCAAATTTATTTTAAAATCATAGAGTTTGTATATTATCAAGATTCTGCATTGGAAACTCTATATTTTCAACAATCTACATTTTCAAGACGCTACATTTTCAAGAATATGCATTTTCAAGGTTGTATAGGATATGTATTGCATTATTTGACAAGACTAATATGCAATTTGTAAAACGTCACTACTTTTCTTTGGTAAAGAGAAAAGAAAAAATAGACACGTTAAAGTTTTTTTAAGACTATTATGTACAATTTGATCTGAGAGATGTTTTAATAACTTATTAATTACATTAGAGATGGAGTGAAAGTTGTAGTCTGCTGGCAAACTTTGCATGCTTTACTTATTCAGAACATTAGTATTAGTAATACAAATGTGCAACTAGAGTAGGGGCTCCTAACACAGGTTAGGAGCCCCTATATACTCTAGTTGCACATTTGTTTTTGTAAAGTTGTCGGTCGCTTTTTTGTTAGTATTGTTACGCATTCGAATTTTGTTGATTAAAGCCTAATTTCCGAAGGCAAGTCGATTCAATTACTTCACAACAATTAAGTATAATAAAGTTAAGTGTCTAGCTAGATGTTTTCTACCGAGTTTAGCGCGCGATAATTAACACTGATGTAGCGCAGGTGTCCCAAAGAAGCCGCCTTATTGCAAATTCGCTGTTTATACGAGTCTTTCTTGACCAATCTAGCCGCTGTCTGTTTATAAGTAGGCCTACACGGCAAAAAATGCTCAACAGCTAGGATTGAACAATGTTTTGCTGCCCACGTTGTCAAACACACTTTTCAGTAATATTGAACAATATTATTGAGCCTGAATCGGTGTAACAATATTGTTCAATCACTATTTAATTCTGTTTTCATTAGTATTGCAACAACCTGATCGTTTTTTGCCGTGTACGCCTATATAACGCCATATTTTGGCCCGCATAAAAGGACCCACAACATGTATGATGCATGCATATTTAAATAAGAATTCACCAAAAAGCCAATCATAATGCATAACAATTGATATGGAAACACCCATGCAAACGCAAGTAATTTAATAGCACTGGAATTTTTTTTCAAAATCCTTAGCTAGGCTACTATGTAAATATATATAGTATGCATATGGATCTTAGCCTAGTTGAAAATAGTAGGGAATCCAATTGTCTTACTATCCTGTAGATACAGTATGGAATTAGTATGGATGTATAGTAAAAAATATACTACGGTTAAGTGTTGAACTAGAAAATTCCATAGTATATAAATTTCGGTATTTTTCTCCAGTGTAGATTATCGACTCTAGCCGTTATAATTAATTGACTAGCAGAGCAGAACTGGGCGCCGAATACGGGCTATAGCTGATGGACTCTGGCTGTCAACTGACAATAGATCAAATTGTAGAACTGTACACGCGTTGAGCAAACATGCACCTGTTCATTGCATATTCCCTTTTAAGTGAAAATGATTTTAATCTTTAAGTCGAAACATAAAGCTTCTTTTAAATAGTGTACATAATTATAGTGTTAGTAGTTTTTTGCTTAATTTGGGAATACATGCAAAGAGTATACTTTGACTTTGTGTAAATCATAGCGCGCTAAATTAAAGAAAAATAAATTAATTTCACTTCTTTTGGGAGCCCGCGGCACTCAAATGTGTTTGTAAAGTTCTCGGTTTGTTAATTTGAATTATTTAATTTGAGTTTGCTAATTAAAGCCTAATTATTTCTAGACAAAACAATTCAATTATTTCAGAACAAGGAATAAAGCTATAACAGTTTATAACTAGATGTTTTTAACCATTTTAGCGAGCATCAATTAACAATGATGTCTTGCGCAAATATATCTATAAGTGCCCGTTTACACTATGGCGGATAACTTTTCATACCGGATTAATTTTCACTCAAAAGTTAAAAACAAGGGTGTTCACACTATGCCGTTTCGCTCTGTTGCCAGCTCATGTCTTTCACTGTCGATCGCCATGGAAACAAGACGAATATTTTTTTGCAAATGTACTAAAATTACTAAAAACACACGTTTTCTTTGTAAAGTATAACTTTGTTTAAGAAGTTTGACCACCCGAGATTGCTCCGTTTCGCTCTAATCCAAAATTGACGAGTATTTCTTTAAATTTCGCTCTTTCGAAAGCGAAACGTCTATGTTAAGGTCCAGATCGTGACCGGACGCGATTCGACAACGCGACGCGACTTTTCAATTTTCACTGACCGATAACTTTGATCCTAGTTTAAATTTCCCAAATATTTAGAAGCGTTATAACAGTTTGAATTATTTGGTCTACATATCTTTTAAAATTTGCTCACATTAGCTGTTTTATTAACTTTCAAAAACTAAAAAATGCCGTCGCGTTGTCGAATCGCGTCTGGTGTATCTGTACTTTAACTATCGTATTATTTATTTGTCTTCGCCAGATATAGCAAATGGTTGTAAGGCGAAACCATATATATCTTACAAAATTATACACTAGTTAGTGCATCTAATTATTCTGCAATTCAAAAATTGAAGCCGTGATTGCAGGCTCGGGGTATTCCCATGAAATAAGAAGATTGGTAGGTTTTCTATTTCTTAAACAAGAAACTCAAACATTAAGTTAAACCTATTCCAAATACATTTTTAAACTGTATTCAAATAATGAAAGTTGTTTTTTTAAGTGTTTATTAGCGAGTGGGAAACTCCAACATAACCGTCTATTCCAATGGGGGTAACCGCTGGAATATTCTTGACTTCAATTTTACTAAAGGAGATGCGCTATCTAGTGTTTATAAGATATCTATGTATGGAGCAGATATAGAGGCGGCAATGTTAAAAATACACACAAAAACTGACTTTGTACCAAAGCGTACTGGATTGGCCTGTTGACACTGCTCCAGCACATATACCGGATTACTTTCCATATCGCCCATCACCGTAGCAAGCTCGATAATTGGGGGGGGGGGGGGGGGGCTCATATTCATATACTCGTGTTCTGCGTTATTAATTTCTTTTGAAATCGATTGTTTTTATGGTCTGTAAAAAAACCATGACCAGCCGACAATTTAAAAAATAAAGTAAAAAGCAAATTCCGAAAATACAGGACATCTTGAGAATTCAATATATAATTCAAAACAAGACGCAGTTTGAGACTGTCAATTTTCGACTTTATTTTAAAGTCATCTTCAGACAGATATATGAATATGGCCCCCACCAATTATCGAGCTTGTTATTATACGGTACTGTCACCTCCAAAGCAGAGTGATTTTTCTCCGCTTCGCGTACCGGATTACTGTGCTATAGGGTAAACAGCAGCCGACTCCGGTATGAAAATCGCTACGCTTCGAAGCAGTTCTGCGTAGTGTAAACGGGATATTAGATTAATTAATTGAAGAGCTGCCTTATAAAAATGTGCTGTTTATAACGAGATGTTTGCGACCATGCAATTTAGGCGCTGCCTTTTTATAGCTGACGGCATTTTTGGCTCGCATAAAAGGAATATAACGTATGATTGATGATGCATATTTTCACTAAGAATTTACCCAAAATCAAATATCAATTTGCATAGAAATTGGTAATGAAATGCCCAAATGCTAACTACAGGGTGTATCAAACAAAACTGAACAGATTTGAAATTGCTCTCAATTTCGCAAAACACCTATTTGTATCTGGTTTTTTATATATATAGCTTCTTTGGGTACTTATAATGTAGAATAATGAAAAAAATTTCTCGATCTCAAATTTTGTGAACCAGGGGGGTGTGTCTTTTCCAACAAACTAAAAATGGCTCGCGCACAAAATTTAAAAGCTGTAATCATATTTTGAGTTAACAGATTGACAATTTGTCGGGTTTTTAATTACTGTACAAAATTTCAGACAATTTGGTTTAGTTTAAGTCCTTTAACTATTCATTTTGTTCTAAAAAGTCAGCCTTTCGCATGCTTAATTAATGCCTTTACCTAATTTGCATATTGCTGACATATGCAAATTAGGCAAATGCATTAATTAAGCATGCAAATAGCTGATTTTTAGGAAAAATGTAACTTTGCGTGAATAGTTAACGGGCTTAAACTACACCAAATTGTCTGAAATTTTGTACAGTAATTAAAATCCCGACAGATATTCCATCTGTCAACTCAAAATATGATTGCAGCTTTTAAATTTTGTGCGCGAGCCATTTTTAGTTTGTTGGAAAAGACACCCCCCCCTGGTTCACAAAATTTAAGTTCGAGAATTTTTTTTCATTATTTTACATTATAAGTACCCAAAGAAGCTATATATATAAAAAACCAGATAAAAGTAGCTGTTTTGCGAAATTGAGAGCAATTTTAAATCTGTTCAGTTTTTTTGATACACCCTGTATAGTAGATCATTTGCATATGGATGGGTTATGCTAAAGATCTCTAGTCACATGCGTACATTACACCAACACAGTAAATGACAATGTTTACGTTTATAAAAAGTTGACAAGTTGACAAATTTACTTTTTTGGCAATTAATGTGTGATGTGACTGAAATTTCAACCTAATCTGCATTCTGTATATTAAATAAATTGAGATGCTACAAAATAAATATACAGGGATTTCGACAAAACTAATTTTTTGATACTGTGTTATGTATATAAGCAATTGAGATGTACAACATTACAAATGTAGCTGCCGGCAAGCTACTGTTAGCTATGTCACAAACGTAAACAAACACTCGGAAATTTTTGCGATTTGTGGTATGGTTGGACGAAAATGGCTGTAATAAGTTCAAAAGTTTATCTAAAAGTTCAAAATTTGTCTACTTCAAGCTTACTGGTAATTTACAACAAAATCAATTTGCAACAGTTTTGCATTCACGAACTGCATCATTTGGACAAATGAATTGCAAAACTATGAACAATATGTTTGAAAAATTTGATATTACTGTAATGACTTTTCAAGTTTTCAGAAACATTGCACTATCCTTGGATCCCTAGTTGAAGTCTCTCTTCACTTGCCATTGTGACATTTTCTGGTGTTGAAGGAAACCACTGCCCATCATTTGGAGCAAAGAAGTTAGGCATTACTCAGTTTGCACATGTTGCCAAATGATTTGGAATATCTGACACACTTATGATTGTGATACTTGAATGATTAAAGTAAATCACAATAATCTTGTGGACCTTTGCTTCTTAAAACAAATTTAATGGTGTAAATCCTATGAGGGCAAGACCCAGACACCCATTGTCCTAGAAAAGTGTAAAATTGAAAAGTGCTTATGTCAAAACATTTTTAATACAGAGGATGTCTGGAATGCACAATGCATTGTGGGATATTAATTTTTGGGTCAATAATTTTTTGTTTGAAAATTGCATAACATAAGCACTTCTAAGGTCCATTGTAGTATGTTAACATGGTAATATTATCCATTTTACTTAACCTGAAAGAGCTTCAAAACTAAAATTCACCTGATGCACCCCATATCTTAGTGAATATCTTCTTCTTAAAATACTCTGACAAATTCAATTTCTTTCTAAGATATTCCACAGCTTTGTGTTTTGTTAGTTGAAAACTCTATTTGGCACCCATCTGTCTGTAACACATTTACCTGTATAAAAAACATGTGCAGTTGTATCCAGATTATTAACTTTCTCCATTTACATGGCAATCATAGACTTTTAATTTGTTGACGATAAAGGAACATTTACTACAGTTCAGTATATAGTTGTTATTAAGCATAAGCAAGCAACGTTTTTGTCAAAACAGATCTCATATTGTGGAGGGGGGGGGGGGGCGG